TCAGTGGTTCCTTCAACAGAGAACACTTCCATTTACAATAGACACGCGCACGTGCACACACACACACACAACCTAGGAATACATCTAATGAAGGAGGTGAAAGATCTCAGAAGAATGATAAAATCATAGATAACACAAACTAATGGAAAAATATTTCATGTTCATGGACTGGAAGAATTGATATTGTTACAATGGCCATACAGCCCAAAGCAGTCTACATGTTAAACACTGTTCCCATCAAACTACTAATGTCATTTTTCACAGAATTGGAAGAAAAAAACTATTCTAAAATTAATACAGAACCAAAAAAACAGCCCGAATAAGCAAAGCAATCCTAAGCAAAAAGAACAAAACCAGTGGTTTCATGTTACCTGACTTCAAACTATACCATAAGGCTACAATAACCAAAATAGCATGGTACTGGTACAAAAATAGATAGGTAGACCAATGGAACAGAATAGAGAACCCAGAAATAAAGGTGTACACCTGTAGCCATTGAATCTTCAACAAAGCTGACAAAAATAAGCAACAGGAAAAGGACTCCCTGTTGAATAAATGTTCCTGGAATAAATTACTAGCCATATGCAGAGGAATGAAAATGGACCCCTACCTTTCAGCATATATAAAAATTGACCCAAGATGGATTATAGATATTTAAATGTAAGACCTCAAACTATAAAAACCCTAGGGAAAAAACTTGGAAACACCATTCTGGCCTTAGGAAGGAATTTGTAACTAAGTCCTCAAAAGCAATTGCAACAAAAACATTGACAAATGAGATCTAATTAAGCTAAAGAGCTTATGTACAGCAAAAGAAATTATCAACAGAGTAAACAGTGTACCATATTAATAGATACACCATTTCATATACAGACCACCTACAGAATAGGAGAAAATATTTGCAAACTGCATCTGACACAGGTCCAATATCCAGAATCTATTGGAAACTTAAACAATTAAACAAGAAAAAACCCCATAAAAAGTGGGCAAAAGACATGAATAGACAGTTTTCAAAAGAAGACATACAAGCAAGCAGCCAACAAACGTATAAAAAAAGTTCCACATCGCTTATTATCAGAGAGATGCAAATCAAAACCACAATGAGTTACCATCTCGCATCAGTCAGAATGGCTGTTATTAGAAGTTAAAAAACAGATGGTAATGAGGCTGCAGAGAAAAGAGAACACTTATGTACTGTTGGTGGGAATGTAAATTAGTTCTGCAACCGTGGAAAACAGTTTGGAGATTTCTCAAAGAACTTGAAACAGAACTACCATTTGACCCAGCAATCCCATTACTGGGTACATCTCAGAAAAGAAATTATTCTTCCAAAAAGACACATATACTCATATGTTCATCACAGCACTATTCACACTAACGAAGATATGGAATCAACCTAGGTGCCCATCAACAGTGGATTGCATAAATAAAATGTGGTACATACACACCATGGAATACTATACAGCCATTAAAATAAAAGAATGAAATCTGTCCTTTGCAGCAACGTGGATGCAGCTGGAGGATAATATCCTAAGTGAATTAACGTAGGAACAGAAAATTGAATACTGCATGTTCTCACTTAGAAGTGGGAGTTAAACATCAGTTACTCGTGGATGTAAAGGTGACAGCAGTAGACACTGAAGACTGCTATAGTGATGATGGGGGGAGGCGGTAGGTGTTGAAAAAAACTGTTGGGTAGTTTTCGATGGCTACAGGTGTACACCTTTATTTCTGGGTTCTCTATTCTGTTCCATTGGTCTACATATCTATTTTTGTACCAGTACTTGGGCAATGGAATAATTCATACCCCAAACCTCAGCATCATGCAACATACCCAGGTAACAAACTTGCACATGTATCCCCTGAATCTAAAATAAAGGTTAAAAAGGGAAAAAAAAGAAGCCGTATCTTACTTGGGTAGAGCAGGTAGAGAAGTTTGGGGAAAAGCTGGCATGGTTAAGCTACATCTACCGGATTGACATTTAGGAAAATAAATTTGAATTCTATGGAAAGAATTAAGTGGAGGTTTTTTAAATAAGCAGCATATAATTAGGTCTTGCTGTTTTAAAATTCTGTCTATCTCTGCCTTTTAATTGATGTGTTTAGGTTATTTACATTCATTATTATTAACAGTTATCAGAATTTGTCTTCAAGTGATAGTAGATATACCATTTCATACAAGAACCTTGTAATAGTATTCTTACATTTGTCCACTCCTGGCCTTTATGCTACTGTTGGCTTACATTTTACTTATATGTATGTTATTAAATAAAAGCTCTACAATGTTTTGTATTATTTTTGTTTAAACAATTATCTTTTAAAGGTATTTAAATAATAAGACAAATGTTATTTCTGGTGCTCTTTGTTCCCTTGAATGGATCCACATTTTGTTCTGTCTTAGTCTGTTTTCTGTTGCTATAACAGAATGACATAGATTAGGTATTTATAAAGAATAGTTTATTTGACTCACAGTTCCTGGAGGCCGGGAAGTCCAAAAGCATGGCACTGGCATGTAGTGAGGGTCATGCTGTGGCAGAAAGCATCACATGAGGAAGAGGATAAGAGCAGGCGAGAGTGCTTTATGCCAAGAGAAATGGGGCTGAACTTATCCTTTTATCAGGAACCCACTCCTGTGATATGAGGTTGGAACCCTCATGACCTCTTAAAGGTCTTACCTGTTAATACTATCACAATAGCAGTTAAATTTCGACATGAGGCTTGGAGGTGATATTTAAATCATAGCATTTGCTGGCAATAAATTCCTTCAGTTTTTGCATATTAGAAAAAGTCTTTGTTTCACTTTCATTTTGAAAGTTTTTAATTTTTTTGCTTTTTATTTTTATTTTTTATTTCCGTAGGTTTTTGGGGAACAGGTGGTGTTTGGTTACATGAATAAGTTCTTTAGTGGTGATTTCTGAGATTTTGGTGCACCTGTCACCTGAGCAGCATACACTCTACCTAGTTTGTAGTCTTTTATCCCTTACCTGTCTCTCCCTTTCCCCCCCGAGTTCCCAAAGTCCGCTGGTAGCATGCCTTTGTATCCCCATAGCTTGGCTCCCACTTGTGAGTGAGAACATACAGTGTTTGGTTTTCTATTACTATATTACTTCACTTAGAATAATGGTCTCTAGTTTCATCACGGTCACTGCAAATGCTATTATTTCATTCCTTTTTGTGACTGAGTAGTAGTCCATTGTGTATGTGTGTGTGTACATATATACACCCACACTACGATTTCTTTATCCCCTCATTGATTGATGGGCATTTGGGCTGGTTCCATATTTTTGCAATAGCAAATTGTGCTGCTATAAATATGCGTGTGCAAGTATCTTTTTGAAAGACACTTTCAGTGAGTATAGAATTCTAGGTTGACAGTTTTTTTTCTTTTAGTACTTTAAAGTTTTTGCTCCATTATCTGCTCACTTGCATTGTTTCCAACAAGAAAACTGATGTCATACTTATCTTTTGTTTGCTATATTTAATGTTTCTTTTTTCTCTGAGTGCTTTAAAAATTTTCTGTTTATCACAAGTTTGGGTAATTTTATTATAGTGTTCTAGGGGTCATTTTCTTCATATTTCTTGCACATCTCCAGAATTGAGTGTATTATTTAATTGGCAGTCTCTCTGGCATCCTGAGATCCAAATGTTAAATGAATTATGGAATGTTTTGAAAGTCAGTTGGAAAAGTTCAGCTCGTGAAAGTTACAGAAGATCTTTGCTTTAATTTATCTAGTTGTCATAATTCAGATAAGAGTATAGTAGAGAGGATTTCAAAAGTGGCAAAACATATATTAGTGACACATTAATGTAGTAATTTAGTCCTGTGGTGAACTTAAAACTGCTGTCTTTATATTTAATGTGTGTAAAATTTACTATATAGCGATAGATAAATTTAAGAAACTCAGTCTTAAATCTTTGGGTAATAGTATTTGTGTTTCTGACTTGATGCGTTTACTAACATTTATTAACAATACTTTGAAAGTAATTTTTGATAACCCTCTTATTGTCTGTTAAAATTCATGCAAAAGTTGAGTTTAGGAGGTTTACCTTTCATTACATTAGTTTTCATTTTCTAGTGGTTTGTAAATTAGCCGGAACTCTAATATAAAGAATATTATGATTTAATAAAGCCATTGTTAGATTACTTTCACATATTGAAAGTATGTTAATTTGGGGGGAAGCTATTAAACTAAAAGTGTTTCATCTGTCGTAAAAGCTAAGAAATGCAACCTAGGTATATAAGAAGAAAAGTTGCAATAGGTATAAGAGTATAGCCTGGCTGTAACACAGACTGGTGCTCCACCTTTATTTGTATGAAATCAGAGATGACCAGTCCTAAAGTTTCGAGCCTTACAAAGTAATTAATTACCTGTATAAAACATAAAGAACTACTTTTTTTACCCATATTTCAATGAAATTACTCTTCATCTACTGATTTCTGTTATACTTAGATATGAACTACTGATTTACTAGTTAAGTTTTTCAATGTTACAGAGACAAAATTTTACTAGTCCAATCTCTTGAGATAGCAAAAAAAAAAAAAAAAAAAAATTGGTATAATTGAGCAGAAGGAGAGCATCAACTTCTGAATTTTTATTTGTTTTAAATGATACTCAGCTTTTTAAAAGTTCACAATGTTGTTTCAAGTTTTTTAAAAATTTATTTATAAAGACACGATCTCAGTATGTTCCCCACGCTGGATTGCAGGGGTTATTCATAGGTACAGTCATGGTGCAGGACAGCCTGGAACTCCTGGGTTCGAGCAGTCTTCCTGCTGCAGCCTTCCAACTTGCTGGCGTACAGGAAGGTACCACAGTGCCTGGATTCATTTTAGAAGTTTAAAATGTCAAAGATTGTAGGTGGGGAAATCAGTGTTCTAAGAAACCAAAAATGTTTTAATAAAGAGGGACATTTGATTCATTTGATTTTTATTCTCAAAAGGTCAATAATTTATTATTTATATATAATGCATATTTTTTTTTCCTCTCTCATTTTTGTAGGTTCTGCCGGAGACTTCCATTTGGCCTCAATGTGAAATTAAAGTAGCAAATCACATCTACATGTATGTTGCTATCAGGATGTTGATTCATTAGTCATGCCTGAAGAGGGAAAGTCTGTTTTAGGTGGCTGACTACCAGCAAAAATAAATGCTTATCCTACATGTCAAGCATCTCTCCTTTTTACTGGAGTGAAAATCCCCTCCAGATACCAACAGAATATCAACTGCAGAAAATGCTTCACATTTTAAGGATGTCGGCAACCTAAATTCATGTACCCTATCTGTACAGTTGTTGTGGATGGTTTGCCATCTGAAAGCTCCTCAAGTTCTTATCCAGGCCCTGTGTCTGTTTCTGAAATGTCTCTGCTTCATGCTTTGGGTCCAGTGCAGACCTGGCTGGGACAAGAGCTCGAGAAATGTGGCATTGATGCCATGATTTACACTCGGTATGTCCTCAGTCTTCTGCTGCATGACAGCTATGACTACGACCTGCAGGAACAGGTATTTACATATTTTAAGTGTTTTGTGAAAACCGATTGTATCTGTATGTATACGTTCCTCTTAAACAAGCACTTTCATACTTTAAAACTGGGCTATTCATGTGTGTCTGCAAACATTTAACCTGTCAGTGACCAGATGGTAAGATTGCCTTGGAGTGTCAATCAGCCTGTGTCACTGAGCACCCTGTTAAGTGCAGTTATTTTATTCATGGTTAGACTTTCTCACTGTTGATTACGTTTTGGCATAGACTCCAGATCTTGTCATAGATTGGTCATAGTTTGATGACCTGCTACCTTTAAGTAGCAGTGCTCTAGAATGTTAATTTCTACTATTTAGAAAACTCACACATTATGAATAGATATTTAAACATTGTATCTATTATACTTCTTACCATTCCAAATTTAATATTGTATTTTATCTGCAAGAAAGATATTTAACTGCTTATTAGTCAGTATGTATAACAAATCAGTAGACTTTAACTTCAGTAAAGCACACAGTTTTGCCATAAGTCAGTGTGTGTCACCTTGTAAGCTGGTCATTACACATTTTACTTGACTTTGCTGCTGAATTTGTAGTGAGAAATTGGGCTGGGTGTGGTGGTTCACACTTATAATCCCAACACTTTGGGAGGCCGAGGTGGGAGGATCCCTTTAAACTGGGAGTTTGAGACCAGCCTTGGTAACATAGAACCCAGTTTCTAAAAAAGTATTAAAAAATTAGCCAGGCATGGTGGCACGTGCCTGTAGTCTGTAGCTACTCAGGAGGCTGAGGTGGGAGGATCGCTTGAGCCCAGGAAGTCAAGGCTGCAGTGAGCCATGATTGCGCCACTGCGCTCCAGCCTTAGCAACAGAGCAACACCCAGTCTCTCTCACATGCATACACGAGAGAGAGAGAGAGAGAGAGAGAGAGAGAGAAAGAAAAAGAAAAGAGAAACCAAATACAGGTTCTTGAAAAAAATCTTAACCTCAGTCTCATTCTTAAGAGAAGCTACTGAAAGTGAGGCCTGCCAGAGGGAACCAGAGTCATCAGTAGTGAATAAATGGACTCTGGGTGACTTCTGTGTACAAATTTCATGTAAAGTCGTTTGGTTTTTATAGACAGTAAAAAGAAGGAGGTATTTTGTGGGCAGTTTTTGTTGCTGTTTTAAACCATTGTTACCCACACTGAAAGCAAAGCAGGAAGAGTTTCATTGTCAGAAGAAATTGACTTTGCCCCTCCAAACCACACAAAAAAGCCTCAAAGTCCTATAAATACAGAGGATTTCACCAAGATGCTTTTTTTTTTTTTTTTTGAGACAGGGTCTTGCTCTGTCACCCAGGCTGGAGTGCATTGGTGTGATCATAGCTCACTGAAGCCTTGAACTCCTGGGCTCCAGCCGTCCTCCCACCTCAGCCTCCCAAAGTGCTGGCATTACAGATGGGAGCTACTGTTTCCAGTCAGCTTAACATTGAGTTGTACAGAGCATGTTTGATGAGAGGGTTTCCCGTCGTGTCTAGCTGGACATGTTTGATGAGAGGGTTTCCCGTCGTGTCTAGCTGGACATGGTGGACGTGTCATGCTTCCAGGTTGCTTGCTGCCTTGGCTGGCAGTAGATCCAGTAAGGTTTTGAAGCGATTAACTTACAACCTAATAATCAGCAACTGTGTTATTTTGGTGGTCAGTATTTTGTATAATTTCCTTACCAGAGCTCTGTTATTTGCCATCATCTTTCTGGTAAATGTCAATTATACTCCTTTACAGGCAAGTAAGACGTTAAATCTACAAACATGGAAGGACTTTCATTTCCAGAAATGAGGAAAATATTTCTCATCATTCAAAAATTACGTACTTCATTGTAAGCATGTACTCATAGGAAATGATTTTTTTTTTTTTTGAGACAGGGTCTTGCTCTAATTGCCCAGGCTGGAGTGCAGTGGCGTGATCATAGCTCACTGCAGTCTTAACCTCCTGGGCTCAAGCGATCTTCCTGCCTCTGTCTTCTGAGTAGCTGGGACCACATGTGTGTGGCACCCCACCCAGCTAATTTTTAAAAAACTATGTCTCGCTCTCTTACCTAGGCTGGAAAGAATAGTTTTTTAGTAGGTCTTGAACTTCCCATTTCTTAGAGTTGTATGTCAGCAATATCAGTCCAGAATATTTAATCAACACCAATACATTTACTAGCACAAAGTATATTCTGGGTGCTATAGGACATACAGGATAAAACAGGCCAGATGTTAATAAGATTATAGTGAATCACATCTCTGATCAGACTTGTGAATCCTCTGGTTTCTTTACTAGCTCTAGGGGGTTGTGATCAGAGATAAGATGAACTATCAGTATCTGCAGCTGTATTTGATCCTCCCTCCAGAGTTCTGGTTCATTCCTCAGGACACAGGACAGATAAAGGTTAGGGAAAGCATAACATGTCTGGAGTTACAAGGAGAATCCATAGGGAAATAAAAGGCCCTAAAATACTTTTCTACTTGGTCCAGAGTAACAGCAGTGTGTGCCAAGTCCCATGCCGATGAAGAAGGTCAAATTTTAAATGATGCCTGTTTTAGTAAGACATGACTTGAGAATCCTTTATCCCCTACATTACTTTTCCGTGAAGTTACAGTCCCTCATTAAAGGTGGCAAAAGCCAGATGCCTGACTCAAAGGGAGGATGTGCTTACTGTTTCCCCAGGCAGAGGATGCAGAAGCCAAGGATGGTTCTCTTCTAGCAAGAGTAAGGAGAGTGGAAGGGCCCTTAGCTTCTGTCATTCAGAACTCCAGCTAACAGCAAGGCTGACAGACCTGGGTGAAGGTGTGTGCCACCTTTCCTGATCTCTGGCTCATGCTTGTGATAACACAGCGCCTCAAGTGGAGGCCAAACCACTCTACTCCTGGGTGTTCATTTCCTCACATCTTCTCTCACCCCTTCGTCCTTGAGTTAGTCTAGCCTTGAGCGGCCAGTTTTAAGACCCCTCACTTTTCCTGGTTTAGGCTAAAGCAGACACACAGTGCTCTTGAGTTCTGAAACCGATTGGATGCCTCAGTTTGGTCTCAGCTGTGCAGGATGATAAGGAAGTAAAGCTGATCAGATCCTAGTCTTGTTTAAGCCTGAGTCATGTATAAACCTCTAATTTGGGCAGGGTTTAAACACAGTTGTGGTGGTGGACTGGTTACAATGTAGTTCCAGAGAACAACTGCCTTGTAATATGGAGATATCATCACTGTGCCAGTAGTTTTATAGTTTTATTTCCACAAATGTTTCTTCTTCTTCTTTTTTTTTTTTTTTTTTTTTTTTTGTCGTGATTACTCTGGGAAGTATATTCTCAAATAATCAGAAAATCACTACATACCATTTTTATTTTATATAACCGCTTTTCTTCCCCATCTTTCAAAGCCCAGGTCACCTGTCTCTGAAACTTTTTCTGATAATTTCTGATGAAAGCAATGTCTTTTACCAAACTTGATAATATTTTACTGTAAAGCTTTTCATTATCGTTACAGGAATGTATTCTGTTTCTCAGTAGGTTATAACATCCTTATGGGTAGAAATCATATATTAATCTTTTTAAAAAAGTTTAACCAGCCTGGGCGACATAATGAGACCCCCATCTCTTAAAAAAATATTAGGTAGATGCAGTGGGGTTTACCTGTAGTCCCAGCAACTTGGGAGGCTGAGGTGGGAGGATCACTTGAGCCTGGGGGTTGGAGGCTGCAGTGAGCAGTGATTGTGACGCTGCACTCCAGCCTGGGAAACAGAGTGAGACCCTGTCTCTTAAAAAATAAATAAATGTAACTTTTTAAAATAAAATAATTTCAGACCTCAGAAGTACAGCTAGGATAGTACAGAGAACTCTCATGTTCTCTTCAGTCACCAATTGTTAGTATTTTCACACGTTTGCTTTCTTTTTTATTGATATATAATAGTTGTATGTATTTGTGGAGTATTGTAATGTTTTGCTGCACGTATATAAGATGTTATGATCAAGTCAGGGTATTTGAGTTATAACCTATCTCCTTAAACATTTATCTTTTCTTTGTGTTGGAAATAGTCCAATTCTTTTCTAGCTATTTTGAAATATACAATAAATATGGTTAGCTATAGTCTCCCTACCATACTGTTGAATACTAGAAGTGACTCCTTCTGTTTAACTGTATGTTTGTACCGTTTGTACTCTTTAACCCACTTCTCTTCATCTTCCACTTTTGCTTTATTTCTGTCTTCTCTTCATGCTGACCTCTCTGAGTAAACTAGCATGTACTTTTTAAGATCAAAGACTTTCCCTTGGTCATATTACAATTACAAAATTCAGGAAAATTAGGATTGATAAAACTTTATTGTCAGATATACAGTCAGTATCAGTTTTTGTCACCTGTCCTGATATTGTTTCTCACTGCAGTTTTCTCCCTCATCTAATATCTAGTTTGAGATTATGCATCGACTTTAATGGCCACATCTCCTTAATCTCCTTTCATCTGGAATAATTCCTTGTTTGTCCTTTGTGTCTCATGACATTGACACTTTTGGAGAGTCCAGGCCAGTTTTGCAAAACATCCCTTAATTTAGGTTTTTTGGGTATTTCTTCGTGTTTAGAGTTGGCTTGTGCGTTTCTGGTAGTAGCATTGCATAATGATATTTCCTTCTTTTCTGCATATCACATCAGAGGGCCAGTGACAACAGTCTTTTTCATTCTTGGAGACGCTGACTTGGTTCCTCATGGTTCAGATGGTGTCCACCAGGTTTCTCCTTGTAATGAATAAGCGATCTGTGCAGGGCGACTTTGATACTTTTACCATCCATTGATGTCCTTGCCTGAAGCAGTTATTAGTTAGGTGGTTGAAAAATGGTGATTTTTCTAACTCAGTTTTCCCCTCTACATTTAGTAGTTGACATTCTACTACAGTGCCTTCCATCTTGTAAAAATCAGTAGCCTAGTCACATAAGGAACATTACAGCATGTAAGATGCAGCGCCAGCCACTTCATATATAAGGATTGCCTTGTTCAGTCTGCAAGTCAAACCTCAAAA